ATGATGATATAGTATCTCACCTTGTGAGCATTTTTAAATGATATTAATCTGTCAAACATAAAAAGATTAAATTGATTTTCAAAACTTTTCCTGAATATTTAGTGTACCAAATGTAAGTACATTTAACAACCTTAAGATATTATGTTAGACTTAAAATATTATTTTTCTGTAACAATATGGTAATTTGAGGCAAGAAATAAATGACAAAAAATCGATCTTATCTTTTTTTAGTAAGTTTGAGTATTAATATAAAGTAAATATCCTAAGAATACAAACACAAAACAAGTCACTCCAGGGTTTCTGTGTTTTTATTAATATAACATAAAATGTACATACAAATTGCACCTAGTAAAATGTATTTTTGAAATGAAATTATTTCCAGTAATAACAATTTTGTAATAACAAAAAGATGCTATAAAACTAGACCACATCCATTAAAAATAAATATATAATGAAGCATATAACTTCCTCTATGTTCTAATTTCTTTTCTAAAACTGTCCTTGAGAGTTAAAAATATAAGAACATGTTATCTAACCATACAAAAGAACCCAGGGCTTTTTATTATAGTAAGAATTTGGAAATTAAAAACAAGTTCCGTTAGTGAATAGACTTGATTAACTGGCTTCTTAATATTGGTCATTATTTAAGCTAACAGATGTTTTAGTGAAAAGAAAATTTTTATCAGCATGTGTTTAAATGCACTTGGTTGGTAGAATTTCTAAAATGGCAGAATATATCTTCAAAGCATATCTAATTATAAACACTATAGTTTATCTTTTAAAGTTTGCATTAAAAAGACACTAAAAGTGAGAATCTAAAATATTATGCAAAACTTCTTATACAATATTAATTGAATAAACAGTCATGAGAAAGAAACAAGACTTGGGAAGTAGCTCCATTTCAGTGTGAACTATGAAAAACCACTTTGAGTTAGCACTGTACACAGACAGCTCCATGCATAAAATGGCCATTTCCAGACCTCTTATTAAATCTTTCATCAAATGCCAACTATAGAAAATGATGTTGTGCCTACTACTCAATAAATGTGCATTTTTCAAAACAGAAAACAGCAACAAGATCATGAATTTGAAAGCTATAAAGGTATATACACCTAGAAATAAAATTCAGTTTTATTCTTGGGATTCAAAAGACCAGGCCTGGGGTGAGAGAGTCAGAAACTCTTTCTTTGGACATGGTGGGGTGTGCACACGGTACAGTTTGGTAGCTTATTCAGCCTTCCAATAATTTTTGATGTTTTAGGGCCAGTAGGTGCTATGGCTATGTGGTGGTCACCAGTACCACATAACGCAGCCCGAGTAATGTGTGCTTTTATATATGTTCTAAAATGTGTCTACACTTTACTTGGAAATGCTGAGGACACCTCTTAATACTTGCTTGGTCTTGCCCCGGGCTGAACAGACAAGCCTATAATTTCATTTTTAATTGAAAATCAAGGATGTAACTGCCCACAGAAAGCTAAATCTGTGGAAGTAAAAATAAGAATGTTGACAGGTGAATTTTTAAAAATAATTAGAATCATTTTTACCAGGTCCTTGATTCTACAGGGAGTGACTACTTCATTTGTAATTTTTAAACATTATCAACCTCTGGGGAACTTAAGACAACTTGTTAAAATTATGTAATTGTTTTTTATCATTTCCAGTTTCTTCATCCTTTCAATGTTTAAAAGTTTCTTTTATTGCCAAAACCTCTGTGTATGAAGACATTTTTGTACAGGTGGAACTCAGAGTCTAGCTTGGCACAGCAACAGGATTACATCTTGAAAGGGATGACCTAGCAGCACAGGTGAACATAATAAACCAGGACTCTATGCACCACTATAATTTACAGAGAATTACCAGGGGACCAGATTCATGAGCTACGATTTTTCTTTTATTTCTACAGAGAAATCCATGAAATTTGACAAACATCTGACATAATAATAAAATAAAGACTGCAAATAGGATGTAAACAATTATGCTAAAAAGTTGTTACCATTGAGAAATATAGGGACATCATTTTTCAATATATAACAAAATATCCACTTCTAGTCCAACTCAATAAAAACCCCTTTGTTTTACATCCTCTTCCAAGGGTTCTTCCGTTCTCCTGCAGCCCTTCTGCATACATAATAAAGGCTTCTTTTATTCCTCTCCTCTTAAAAGCTAAAAAATTGTTTAAAGGAATGA